TGGGTCCGCTTTTGTTTCTCCTTTATATCAACGATCTTCCGAGTGTTGTGACCTCTAGTGTGCGTTTGTTTGCCGATGACTGCCTGTTGTACCGGGTTATTGAAAAACCCTTAGATGCTCTTGATCTACAAAAAGATCTCGATGCACTGACCCGGTGGCAGGACACATGGCAAATGTCCTTCAACCCCTCAAAGTGCCACACACTTCATATTACTCGTAAGCGTAACCCGATTATTACACAATACCGATTATGTTCAGAAAATCTTACTAGTGTTAAAACCCATCCATATCTTGGAGTCCAACTATCACAGGATATGAAATGGGACACACATATAAATTATGTCACTGGTAGAGCTAATAGGATACTGGCAGTCATCCGCCGTAACCTTTCGCACTGTCCTCTTCGTGTCAAATCTACATGCTACAGAACACTTGTACGCCCACACCTGGAGTACTGTGCGACTGTATGGGATCCCCACACCATCGGTGGTTCCCAGGCGTTGGAGCGAGTCCAACGAAGGGCGGCGCGAATGGCTGCTAGTGATTATGACTATACCAGCAGTGTTTCTGACATGCTAAAGCGCCTCCAGTGGCCGTTACTTGTTGACAGAAGGAGAACCGCTCGCTTGATATCTTTATATAAAATTGCTCATGGACATATTAATATTCAAATGGAACAATACCTCAAACCTGCCCATAGGCGTACCAGAGGAAGTCATGAATACAAGTATCAAGCAATACCTGCCAAAACAGACTGTTTTAGATTTTCTTTTTTTCCAAGAACGATAAATGAGTGGAACAAGTTACCGGGCCAGCTTGTAAAAGCCCAGACAGTGGAGGCCTTCAAGGCCGGGCTTCTGGCCGCGCAGCCATAGTCCGTCGCACCCCCCCCTCTCAGTGATACCCCAGTAGGGGTGGTTAGAGAGTATCAAAGAAGAAGAAGAAGAAGAAATTACATATTTAAAATACAGTGGAGAGGTCAGAGGTCCCTATTTACACCATGTGTATTACCACCATGTGTCGAGACGCATGTGGTTGTACTTGTTACTCCATACTTTGATATTGTCTTTAAATGTGCGTTCGCTTCCAGATGTCATATCGGATGGTAGATTGTTGTATACTTTTATGCTTCAATATACAAATGTTCTGATTTTAGCTTTAGTTTTGTCTAGTGTAAACGCCCCTCTTTGTGCAAGTCTTGTACGGTTTCTATGTGTGGTGGGCTAGCAGTGCGGTTTCTATTTTCTGCAAGTGTTTGAAGATACATTTAGGTTGCTCTTTAGTTATAATTTTGTGGAATGCATAAAGAGTATTGGTGAAAAGTCTTTGGTTGACATTTTGCCAGTTTAACTGGGTGTGTAGGTCATTAAGTATGGCGTTTGTGGCTAAACGAGCTGCATATTTTGGATCACTTGTAGTTTATCTAGGTGTGTTTGCGGTGCAGATGAAAGTAGTGGTTGAGGTGAAGTATTTTCCATATCTTCTTATTGTCGCAAGAATTCCAGCCATTTTCAACTTTGTTTTACCAACATGCAAGGCCCATGTCAGCTGTTGGTCAATATTGAAGCCTAGAAGTTCGGGGTGATCAACTTGCGTGATGTTTGTCCCTTCAATGCTCAGTTCCATTTGAGGACTCTGCTTTAGTTTTTGGTGTGTGCCGATTAATATTGCTTTTGTTTTCCCTATGTTAAGTACAAGTTGATTTGTTTACACCCAATTCCAAATTCGCTCCAAGTCTGACTGCAGCTCGTTTTGTAACTGTGCCACAGTAGGGGCCGATGCTGACGGAGTGGAGTCATCTGCATACATGACTACCGTGCTATGCTCTGTTATTGTGGGTAAGTCGTTTGCAAATATGGAAAATAATAGTGGACCAAGGCAGCTGCCCTGGGGCACACCGCACTTGGTTTCTCTGTAAGATGAAAAACTACCGTTCACAAATACGGATTGTTTCCAAGGTAGCTACGTATCCATTTAATAGCTGATTGTTCGAAACCGTAGCTTTGTAGTTTAGCCAAACAGATGCCATGGTCTATGACATCGAATGCCGCGCTAAAATCTAGCATGACGACACCCACCAATTTCCCATTGTCTATCTCTCCCAACAAGTGGTCCGACATTTTTATGAGCGCACTAGCTGTGGAATGTGATTTTTTATACGCATGTTGGTTTTTAGAGATGATGTTGTTGGAGATCAGGTAAGTTTGTATTTGTTTTTGGCACACCCTCTCCATTACCTTGCTAATTGTCGGTAACAGGCTGTTTGGTCCGTTTAGCGGAGCGGATTTGTTCTTTATTAGTGGTAGGACCTTGGCTATCTTCCATTGTGAAGGAAAGATGCCTTGCCCGATGGAACTGTTAAAGATGTAACATAGTGGACTGGCAATGTGGTCAGCACAAAGTCTCAACAATGTGTTATCTATGTTGTCATGGCCAGTAGCATTACCTGGAGGCAACAATTTATGTACCTGCTCGACTGTTATGTCATGGAATTTGAAGGAACAGTCCTTAAGGGCCAAGATGTTTTCAACAATAGGTGTTATTGACTTTTCTATGTCAGGATGTTGATCGTTTGTGAGAGTTTCAATTTTTTTAATGAAATAGTCATTGAAATACTCCGCTATTTCAGATGGTTTCATCAATATTTGTCTGTCCACTTCAATGAAGTTTGGTGTACTTGAAGTGTTTTTGCCTAACATTCCGTTCACAACATTCCACATTTGTTTACTGTCTTTAGACCTGCTGCATGATTGAATTTGTTCTCTGTAGAAGACCCTCTTCTTCTGTTTTCATTTACTACTAAGTTTCTTAGTTTAGTGTAGATCTTGTGGTCCGACTCCAATCCAGATGCCTGAGCTTCACTCTTTGCATGATCTCGCTGTGTCATGAGTTCACGGAGTTCGCCATCCACCCACTGGGTGGGTGTCGCCCTCACAGAACATTTCCTGACAGGAGCATGCTTGTCACATATCATGATGTGCAAAAAGAGTCATGAAGCATTCTAATGCATCTTCTACGTTGTCTTCATTTTGCACCAAGTGCCACGGTACGGACTCAATTTCTTGTAGGAATTCGTCTTTGCTAAATCTTCTGTAGGTGCGTTTCAGTAGGATTTTCGGTTGTCCCTTCGGTACCTTTGTATTACGTGTTGTATGTACGAGATTATGGTCTGAACATCCAATAGGAACGGACTTTGTGCATGAGAATTTGTCAGGTCTGTTAGAAAAAATCAGGTCTACACAGGAGGAGTTTATTTGACCTCTGGATGTCTTCACTGTTCTAGTTGCTAGCTTTACAATTTGTTCAAGATTCAGAGCTGTCCACTCTGATTCTAGTCTATCTCTTAGGGGGCAGGTCTTGTTTGTCCAGATTATAATTTATATTATAAAGTCGCCTAGTATCAGAAGTTCGTGATCGGTTTTAGTCGCCATATCAACTACCTGTATCGTTTTGTGTAGGTAATCTATTTTGGCACTTGGAGGCCGGTATAGACATCCTACTAAGATTGGTTTTGTGTATGGGATGCGTATCTCCGCTCAAATGAGTTCAATGTCTGAGGTTTCCAGGTCAACTCGCCTTTTGAACGGAATGTTGTTTTTTTATGAATATAGCAACATCCCCACCTTTGTTATTTCGGTCCTTGCGTAATAAAGTGTAATCACCGACATTAAGTGTTCCATCATACACAGTATTGTCTAGGTGTGTCTCAGACAAAGCAAGGATGTGTAGATTGTTCGTGTTCAGGATATTAGAAATCTTGAACCTTGTTACGTAAGCTGTTAATACTGATGTGGCCTACTTGCAGTCTTTACGTGCTAAAGTCTATGGGTCCAGGGTTCGTCTGAATGTCACCAGACAGTAGCAGGGCCAGTGTTGCCAGGAGGGTGGATACACTTTTCAGATGTTGATTTGTAGGCCTGCTTTTCCTGTCATCAGTGTTGCACGAGGAAGTAGCAATTTTGTTGACGGTATAGATGCCACACAGAGCAAGGGATGATGTTCGATGTGGTGCGATCTGACATCTGTCCGCCGACTCCACTCGACTTAATTCTTGAGCACGACTGGCTTTAGGTAGTACAGCTATTGTAATTAATGCCAATAGCTGCATCATTACTAGCCTCCTTCACAGTATTGTTGGGCGTCTTCCCGGCAAAAACTCCCTCGGCAGCAAATCGTCCCTTGCGGCCGCATATTACTCGCGTCGCTTACAGAAAAAAATTACGCCGACGCCCAACAAGACTGCGAAGCATTTTTTCTAAGAAAGACATGTTGATTGAGGACTCCAGGAATCTCTTGTCTCAGTCAGGAGTTGAGTACAAAAATATGCGACTTACAGTATGATGGTAATCAGATTATCGTCTAGTTACTGCTGGCCCAGACGCAGGTGCGTATAAATGGGCGCCTTATTATCATATGAATACCGGTGTTTACATTGATGCGATTATCGTCGTGTGTTTAGCGCCAAAATTAATACAGCAGTACAGTTTAGTCGCAATTTCACATGAAACAGTGGCTTATTTACACGTTGCTACCATGTCCTCATCCAACTGCGTCCTCATCCAACTGCTGACCATTAGTTTCATAACTAATGACTTAACATATGCTCAGAAACTATGCAGGGTTTGTCGGTAATATTTGTCGGGTTCGCTTGTAGACACCCCTCAGGTAGCGCCGCTGTATTGCGCCTACATTTAATGTCTAATTTTCCGTCAATTTTCACTATCTTTTTTTATATCGCAGTCCGTAAACAAAAACATGCTTGGGGCAACCAACAGAAATGAAAATAAAGCCAAAACAAGCAAATACTTGCGCGTTGGGGACGAAATTGCCGGAGCGTTTTCGGAAGGTGTCTCACCACCGACGATGGTGTCTCAACACCGACGATGACCTCTGACAATTCCAGCTAAAGCTCCTCATCTCTATCAGCACACAACGTTTAGCCTTTATTAAGATACAATTGATTAAGTTCAAGGGATCAATCAGTCATCACAAAGACACACCTTCACTTGGTCTACAGTTTTCCCGCTCTGCTTAGCTGCTTCTTCTATCAACGGACAATCCTTCTTCACCTCGGTCATTCCGCTTTCTTCATAGAACCGGACGAGTACAGGATCGTAGCCTTTCTTACGTGTGGAGACTTCCTGTAAACACGCACACGTGAAAGTGAGTTTTGTTTGGTATGAGGGCGGTTCTACAATTCTTTCTGAAACACTAGCTTCTAGTCATTGCAGTAGGCTGACATTGGACATGCACATTCATAGATAGATCACATGCCTTCAGACTTCCCTTGTAACCAACACTGCACGAAATCAGGTATTTAAGCAGTCTTAAAGCATGCTTAAAGGTTCCGTTTTGGCACTCTTTAAGCAAATTTAAGCCAATCTTTACGCGTGCTTAAATGTTACTTTTAAGCTAGCTTTAAGTTTGTGCGTATAGTGCTAAATGGCACTCTTTTAAGGTGGTCCAGAAGGATAGCTGAGGCATATTTAGAAATACTACGAACTCTATCTGATATGGTAGTCTTTTGGGTCTATTTTTATAATTTTCTTTCGTCTTGTCACTATGGCCACATTTTGGGCGCCAAATTGACCGCCAAATTGTGCATTTTTTTCACCCTCCAGCCAGGCCCCAGTGGGGGTGTGCACATTATTTTTAAAAGCTACTCCGCCGCTCGACCAATCAGGCTCGCTGGTCATTGTAAACTGAGAGCTTCACTTTCATAATTTTTGGGAAGGGAAAAGACACTGGAAAAGAGAGTTTTACTGAGCGTTTGATGTCAGTTGTTTGCAAAACGTTTTGGGTAAAAACCTGCCAAATGCAAAGAATAATAATTTTCTGAAAACACAAGCCGTTTCCATTGTTTATCACACTTCGTATCGGCAAAATGTTGTCAAGTTGCAACACACAACCAGAGATATGCAGCCACACAAATCACCAAAAAACGCCAGAAATAATCTGACAACTTCCTATATAAAAACATTCGACTGCCAAAAGAAACGAAGCTGTCTGCTTTGAGCCACAAGTTAGATCTTGGTTTAGTTATGAGCGGCCTGGCGGACCGGGTCACTGCATGCATAAAGAGCCGCGCTTG